TCTCGTCTATTTGCTGCATTCTGTGTGCATTTGTAAGTTTTTGGCGCACCATATTTATTATTTTCCCTTATTTATTACTGCAAATGTTTTTTGCTCTCCCTGTCCCTGTATATTTAAAAATGCAATTTAGCTCGTGTTGAAATGAAGAATATGCCGCGCTGGGGAGCGGAAGACCAATGTCATGATATATTTGCCGAGTTGCATAAGTATTTCAATATTTATTCATAAACATAGATATATGTATTAAGCGGTGCATTTTTAGTTCATGAAAACTGTTTGCTCTGCCGGGAGAAAGTCATTGGGGAGCTGGCATGATTTTAAATGTGCGGGATTCATTATGTATTGATAACACTTTTTATGCATGGATTCTGCTGAGGGAAAAGTCTTTCAACTGTGCACCAGATGAAATAGAAAGACTTTTAAATAAATGGTTAGGGCGATAAGAAGTATGAAATATTTGTAATATCCCTACGCTTATATTTGTGCAAAACTTTATTGTGAAGTTTCAACAGGCATGTTAATGTTTTCGTTTCAAAAAAAAAGAAAACCGCATTCAAATTCCCATTTAAGCCGCAAAAAAACAAATATTTCATAAAAGTTGCTTAATAATTTTTCCCACGTTTAATTAATTTATAAATGCAACGCAATTAGTTCCACCACGAATGCGAAAGCCGCCCGTAAGTTTAATTAGTGCTAATGGTAACAAATAGCATTTTAATAAAAATGGCAAAAAAGCGAAAGTTTCAGCTTAAAATGTTTTTTAACACTTATTTCACATCAGAAAGTTGGGTATTATCATTATTTATATTTATCACAGTCAAGAAATAAATAAAAAACATACTCATAATGCTTTATAGTTCAACATAAAAAACAAAATATATGAATTATAACCAAGTTCTTATGGGAAAAAATATATTATTATTATTATTCATTTTTAAATAAGATGCAGGATAAATATAATTATAATACATGACTTCACTTATCTTATAATTGGAACTTTTCATCTTGAGAACGACTTAGTAACACCTTTCAAGTTGTGCGTAATTTTGCATTTGAGCAAAAGATACATCAGCATTTAGGCCAGACTGGCGAAACTATTGCAGTCTTTTGGACTCTGAGTACGCTTATGTGCACACATGTGGGGTTTTATAGATATATCTTTATGTGGCAGGGTGCCTCTGCCAGACATTTTATCTGACCGAGCGGGTCAAGCATCAGTTCATTTTATTGACATAAATGTTTATGTTTATTTGTCTGTGTTTAAGCATTACTGTTTATTGTATTGTTGATCCTGCCAGCGCTGTTGTTGCCCTTGTGCCCATAAAGGCAATAACAACATTGTGCAAATACACAAAAGTCGAATGTGTTTTACAAGTGCTCGTAGAATGCCTCAAACAAAAAAATTGTTTGTTTGCCCATAAGTGGGCAGGGATAATGGGATTTTAAAATTGATTTAATTAGTGTTTTTGTTGTCACACTTAAACAGCGCATTATTATATCAATTCACAAACGTTTACGCTTATGGCCGTATAACACTTGTTAAAATTTAGACTTGCTGACTGGGCTTATTTAAAAATGTAATGGCCACCTATGGCGGTCTGTAAACATATATGTTTTGATTAAATATATATATTTTATTTTACCTGTGTTTTGGTCTATTTTGGTTTTATAACTTGATCAATCCCACATTTTTGTACATTTTTCTTCTCCATTTTTTCACTACTTTACTATTTCTACAGTAAACAAGTTGCATGTAGTTTTATTAAGCTTTTGGATCCTTGAGTGGGTTAAAAGCTACCGCTCTTTTAAAGCTTTTCAAGCTTAATTTCTTTTAAAGGATTACAAGACTAACATAAGGAACAACTAAACTATTTTTAAAGTTTAAAGAAAACTAGAATTAAGCTTGCTTGGAATATAAATCTATGAATATCTTATTTGTTTTAAAGAGAGTTAAATTTACTTATTTGTATATACAGGATTCAGTTAAAATGTATTTTTCATTTAAAATAACTCCCTTGCACCTAAAAATGAACTTAAATTACTTTTTATCGTTGGCCTGGTGCTTGAATATTCGCGCCTCGATTAAAATGTATCGATATTTTTCTTTATCGATAGCCGATTATTGGTGAGACCGTTCCAACGCCACGACTTTGCCAGCACCAAAAGTCTGAAGATTCGAAGAGAAGAAGAAGAATTGCCAGCAGGAGACGCAGAAACTATACATTATATACACCGAATATAAAGTTTCCTGCGGAATTGCAGTCAACTTGGGTCCAGTGGGTTACCTTTTCCAGCACTCCCGAATACGTCCAACAATGCAGGTAAGTGTGGCAAGACTCGGAGCACCTGCGTTGGCAGAGGGACACGCCAGCTATTGGATTACTAAGCAGGGTAGGATTCTAGACCAGGATGTAACCACCTCTCTCTCTTGCAGTCCGGGGCTGTGGCTAGGCCATGGCTGGCAATGGTCCTGCTGGTGGGCCTCGTCCTGGTGGTCGACTGCTTCTACGTGCCCGGCGTGGCGCCGGTGGAGTTCGTCCAGGACCAGAAGATCGACGTGAAGGCGGTGAAGATGACCAGCAGTCGCACCCAGCTGCCCTATCAGTACTACTCGCTCAAGTTCTGCTATCCCAAGAATGGCACTCTTATCTTCAAGTCGGAGAATCTGGGCGAGGTGTTGCGCGGCGACCGAATCGTCAATACGCCGTACGAGGTGCGGATGAATCAGCAGGTCAACTGCCGCCTGCTGTGCAACCAGAAGGACCGGCCGCTCACCTGGAGCAAGGAGGACTCCGCTCTGGTGGCGGAGCGCATCCAGCACGAGTACTTCGTGCACCTGCTCGTGGACAACCTGCCGGTGGCCACGCGCATCGTCAGCGTCAACAATCCCGCGGAAGTGACCTACGAGCACGGCTATAGGCTGGGCCAGGTGGACGGGGATAACATCTACATCAACAACCACCTGAAGTTCATCCTTTCCTACCACATGCACTCGAAGGACAAGTACCGAGTGGTTGGCTTCGAGGTGGAAACGGTGTCGGTCAGTCACAAGGAGCTCAAGTTCCATGGGGACACGTGCAATTTCCCGGACAGCGCCCGGCCGCAGCTGGTCAATCCCAATGGGGAGACGCAGCTGTACTTTACGTACTCCGTGGAGTGGAAGGAGTCCAAGGTGAGCTGGGCCTCGCGATGGGATATCTACCTTGGTATGCGCGACGTCCAGATCCATTGGTTCAGCATCATCAACTCGCTGGTGGTGGTCTTCTTCCTCTCTGGAATCCTCACCATGATCATGATCCGCACCCTACGAAGGGATATTGCTCGATACAATACGGATGACAACATTGAGGATACGCTGGAGGAGACTGGCTGGAAGCTAGTCCACGGCGATGTGTTCCGTCCGCCCAAGAATACTAGGCTGTTTTCCGCCATTATTGGCAGCGGCATTCAGATCTTCTTCATGGCATTGATCACCATCTTCTTCGCCATGCTGGGCATGCTGTCGCCTTCGTCACGTGGCGCCCTCATGACCTCGGGCATCTTTATGTACGTCTTCATGGGCACCATTGCAGGATACTATGCAGCGCGACTCTACAAGACTATGAAGGGTCGCGAGTGGAAGCGAGCTGCCTTCCTCACCGCCACCCTCTATCCGGGCATTGTCTTTGGGTAAGCTCAGCCAAGCAATAGCATGTTACAAATATAAACTTATTGATTTTCCCGCAGCACTGGATTCTTTTTGAACTTCTTCATCTGGGACAAGTCGTCTAGCGGTGCCGTGCCCTTCACCACCATGATCTCGCTGCTGCTGCTCTGGTTTGGCATCTCGGTGCCCCTGGTCTACCTGGGTTTCTATCTGGGCTACCGAAAGCAGCCGTACCAGCACCCAGTGCGCACCAACATGATTCCGCGGCAAGTGCCTACGCAGCACTGGTACATGAATGCGGTGTTGAGGTGAGCAGAATCTTTTCACATCATCCCAGTTTGCTAATCAAACTCCAACCGCATTGCAATCGCAGCACTCTGATGGCTGGCATTTTGCCCTTCGGAGCCGTCTTCATAGAACTCTTCTTTGTGTTCACGGCCATCTGGCAGAATCAGTTTTACTACCTGTTCGGCTTTCTCTTCTTGGTGTTTTGCATCTTAGTTGTCAGCTGTGCCCAGATCTCTATAGTTATGACATATTTCCAGCTGTGTGGGGAGGTGAGATTTATTCGCGTCCTTTTAAGAAAGTTAATATTTAATAATTCATAACATATCATTACAGGACTACCGCTGGTGGTGGCGCAGTTTTGTTGTTTCTGGCGGCTCGGCCGTCTACGTGCTTTTTTATAGCATCTTTTACTTTTTCACTAAGCTGGAGATAACCGAGTTTATACCTACGCTGCTCTACTTGGGCTACACGGGTAAGTTAACTGTAGAAATCTTTGGTGTATCTTACGTTAATACACTATTTATAACACAGGACTCATGGTGCTGACTTTCTGGCTGCTAACCGGCTCGATTGGCTTCTTCGCCGCCTACGTTTTCATTCTGAGAATCTACGGAGCTGTGAAGATCGACTAAGCTGTGTCACCCACTCGCCACGCTGTACACCAAACTATCCTTGCAATATCATTCGATCATAAATATATTTATAGGGCAACTGGGCAAAGTCTCGTCCAGCTGCGGAAATCAAAACAAACAGAAAATGAAACTAAAAAAAAACTCGACGACTCAGCCATGTGAGCTAACTTCCCCTTCTTGTCCCAGCTTTAAAGAGCACTCTTTGAGTAACCACTTACTAAGTCAAAACACTGTATTCCGCGTGTATGTCTTGACCCCTCGGAGTGGCTCGATTTGCGAGAGCGTTGCGTTTTAGAATCAATCTAGAAATGCCTAATTTATAAATGTATGTAAAGAATCTAATATAAGCAACTGATATAAAACAAACAAAAATCAAATAAACTAAGCTTAATGTACGACACCTGCAGGTGTAAGTTTCTTAGCGGGAAAGCGAGCTCTGTTGATCGCAGACTTAAGGTTTTCAACTCAGTCTCATTTTTGTTCTGAATCAGGGTAGTTCACAGAACCTCATAATGTTTCGCTTATTGATTTATATTCTTTTGGTAATAGCATTTGGCTTCTGCCGTCTATGTGTCTCCGGAACGGGGTTTCATATAGCTGACAAAGTAAGCTTTCCCTTTTGATAAAAACTTTAACCTCACTATGTTTTCTCTTCAGAAACGAAAACACACTGTAAAGGCTCGTATAATGTCCAACATTAGCATGACGCTCTATTGGTTGTTTCAAAACTACTTACCATTTGAGATCATTAAAGACGAACATGAGTGGGATGAAATCATAGGTGCTGAAGAGGTCGAAGTATTTGCTTGGGACTAAAACTAAAATGATCTGCTTTTCAACAATCAATATTCCAACAACATATAGAACTGCCCAAGTGAAACGCTTTTATTCCTCAGTTACAATTACATTTATTTGCAGATTATTAAATTAATTGGTACATATAATTGCTTTTAGTATTTTACACATATTAGGTTTAAAAAGTTATGTAAGTTATCTATATTCAATCGTATACACGTTTATCGTATGGGTGCTGACCAGAGCAAGTAGTGCCCATTACTCATTAGTTTAGTTCATCTATTTTTGCTGAATAAGTAAGATTTCGAAGCAAAAAGTGAGGTCATCACAATGAACGAAGATAACTTTTTCGGTAACAAAGAAGTAATGTTACTTCCATGGGGATTGGCAAGAAGATAATAAGATTCTCAATGGAAATGCGGGTACCGTCACTTCCTGCTCCATAAAACCTGATTAAATTACCACAATGCACATTTTATTTTAGGCTGGCTATGACCGATTTTAAGCCAGTTCCGAGTAGGCACAAACTAAGGATGGTAAACGAAGTTATTAAGTGTACATTCCTTTATCATTCCTTGCACAACACATATTGCTAGAGAGGGAATTACGATTACTTAAGAAATAGATTAGAGTCGGGAACAACCAAACAGTTTACTGCCTCTCCCTCCTCCTCCTTATCCTGATCCTCCTGCGCGGATCACCATCTTGTGGGAGCATCCATCGCCCCTGGATCTCTGTGGAAAAGTGCGCTTTGACATGGTTGCGAATCGGTTTACCTCATCGGGTTCCGATTCTTTAAACGCTAGCGATTCCGCTTGGTCTTGCGACTAACATTGCCCTCGATGATGATCTGATAGCATGCAAAGTAAAGAATTTGAATTGGAGTATGGAGATGGATACAGTGACTCTAGTCGTATTGAATGAAATCGGTTAGATTGCCCTTCCAGTTGGATGAGTTTATAGTATAGGGACACTTGAATTGCTGGGAGGTGGGAGGAGGACTGGTGTTAGGATGGGTTGGATTGGGGTTACTCCAGCACCGGCTGCTCTACCTGAAGGATCTGGCTGGCCTCGAAGGCGGTGCCCGGCAGCAGGATCACGGGCGAGGTCACGTTGCCCGCCTCCACGCACAACATGTTGGGGAACTCGTCGTCCCCGAAGTCACTCATCTCGCGCGATCGATCGATCCAAGGATTCCAGATGACTGGGAAACAATGTATTATTGATTGCTCTTTAGGAAACCTTTACTTACTCACCCGTGTCGGGAAAGTTGTACTTGTGCAGTCTCATCTTACGTCCGGACACCACGTTCGTGATGACGTGCTCCTGTGGCGTGTGCTGGTAGATCCGGTCGGTCCACTCGTTGACGGTCACCACTTCGCGTCCCTCCTGGTAGAGCGCATTCTCCCGCGTCTTGTCGATGAAGTGGCAGCCCTGGAGACCCGTGATCTGGCACCGGCGGACATCGGGCACCTTTAGGTAGGTGTGCAGCAGCATGTTGAAGGTGAAGCTCAGCTCCTTGCTGGGATTATAGACGCCGATGTGGAAATGGAGCTCCTTTTCCCGCAGGATCAGCCGGTAGGTGATGCGAAATCTTCAAAAGAAACGGATTTAGTAAGGTCATGTTTTTAAAATTTCTGTTTCTGATATAATAAACAGTTTGTAAGAGACCATAACAATTGGTACTGCCCTATTTACTTTAAATATTTTATAGTATTCAATATATTTTTAAGATGTGGATACACACAATTACAATAGATTTTAAAGTACTGGATGTACCTTCTAGGTTCAATAACTTTGCCAGATTAATTTTATGATTCGGAATGTTGAATCTATTTGTAAACCTACTGATAGTTCCAAATAGATCGCGTGAAGTCGTTGTCCATCAGCGAGAATATGGCCTCGACATCGCCATTGTGCAGCCTGTCTGGGGGTCTCTCCAGGTGCCACCGCGTAATCCTCGCAAATCCATGTTGGGGTCCGAAGGACCAAGCACCGAACTGAGCTGTAATTGTGGGAAAGCATTAGCTGCTGGTGGTGCAAAGTTCCTGGATCTGGGCAAACTTACGAAAGACAAAGGGAATCCCGCCACGTATCGCCTTCTTGCCATCGAACGAGGCCAGTTTGCTGGGGGGAAGACAAGACGGTTGGAGGGTAAAGGCTCGATTAATTCGGTTAGACGCTACTCGAAAATATGCCAGCCATAAAAACGCTTGCAGACCGAGACAGACATTCAGAAATTCAGAAATGCTATTAGCAGAAAAAAGTGTCTGGCGAAATGCTCCTTGCCCCTTTTTTGTATCTTGTTTTTCTCCTGTCGCTGAGGATGACGTTGCCCCGAGCTGGGACCTGCCTTGGGTTTCGTCTCAGCTAATTTGCCGACGCATCCATCAAGCAGCTCCTTCTGACCCTGGATCTACCTAAGCTGCCGATTCCGCTTGTCCTCCACTTTCTGTGCATCATTTGTAAACTCTTTCAGCTGTGGAACGCATTTGACATGGCAAATGTCATTAATATTTAAGAGATTTCAGTTGGGGATTTGACGAAAGAGGGGGATCACTGTAAGTACTTGAAATAGTTTTCAAGTATGTTTAAGTACCTTGGGATATCAACAGAACATTTATTATCTAACAGCCAGTAATGGGTAAATGGTCTGTTTGTAAATAATTTCAAGTTCCTCAAAAAGAATTCTTAAAATGTTTGCAATCTAACTTAAATTGTATTATAAAACTTGTATTCTATTGCTATTAATTTCTACCATGCCTCTATATTTCCTTAAGCGAATAAGTTTAGTATTAAGTTTAAACTCACTAGAAAGAAATTAATACAACAAGAAGACCTCAAAACAAAACTCAGCGTTACAGAAAACTATTGTACAGAAAACATACTGTAAGGAAACCCTATACCATTATTTTATAATGTTTGCCCGACTCAAAGTAGGATCTGGAATATGCAAAGTTTTAAGTGTATCTATCTTCAGCTTCTCAGTTCCCGTTTATTTCGAAACAAAGTTACTTAAAGCAGGCAAATAATTAATTTAGTTTTGCACTTCCTCGCCTTATCCATGACCACTGCCAGTTTTTAGTGGGTTTCCGAATGCCGAATGACTGGTGGCCACAAAAACCGTCGAAAACTTTCCAGCAGACGAAACAAAAAAGAAGCTAGGACCGTCGACGAGGGGCTAACACACTCGAATGGCACTTCGTGCCTGTGTGGGAGCTGGCCAAGAATCCGGGAATTGGCCAAAAGTTGATGGGCCGCGAACCACTGTGCCCAGTATGGAGGGCTCCCCATGTTGTGGGGATTTATCGATCTAGCTGGCCGCGCCAAAAACTCCATTCATAAAAACTTGCACATTGTTTTGCCACAAAAGGGGGGCGCAGGGCGAAAGTAGGGGAAGCCCAGAACAGAACAGCACAGAACTGAACTGAACAGGAGTAGGCAGCAACAGGGCGAAAAAAACGGCCATCAATGGAGGCAGCTCCTCTTGGTGCAAGTGCAACGGCTCCTAGTCGCCAGGAGGAGGAAGAGGGGGGGCCTACTCCCCATTCCTGCCGCCCCTGTGTTTTTGTGTTTTTGCCATTCGGTCGCTTTTGGTTCGGTTCGCTGGTTCGACGCTTGGACCCGCTCGGTCCCGACGTGTTTTTTGTTGGGTGTCATACAAAAACATTTTGCCGCCAAACAGAATGGCTAAGGCTGCTCCTGCCCAACCTGTCAGCCACCCCCCCGCCCCCCGGGGTGTAGCCCCCACTCCCCTCTCCCGCCGCCGCCACTGGAAACTTTGCGAATCACTTTTTTGGTTGCATGACCAACCAACGCACAGCCCACCGTGGCTTGCGTAAGTTTGGGCTTAAAGTTCGGCCGACGTGGCGTATGAGCGATGTTTAAAGGGTGCTAGTTGGTAGCTGACAAAGTTCGGTCCACTCACCTGACAAACAACTGCTCCTGATTGTTTACCCGCCAGGACACGACTGTGGCACCTGCAAACAGAAGGTAGGCAAATAATTGGCTTCATTCAAAAGGTATTTGCAGAAAGTATGTATGGGTACAGAAGTGATTTCTGTGATATGTGTGTATTATTATTATTATTATTATTGGCATTGGAACTGAATTTAAAAAAATACGATTGGATCTTTGAAAATATCTAGCTAAATAAGTATTCCTTGCTATAAATACATCGTCTGTAATTCTCTGCTGTATTTATTACAAATGTATGGTTATTTGTTTACTATAGGAAGGTTTCCATTAGAGATCATATTAATTTGTATAATTATTTATTGATGAGGAAAACCTGAAGCAGATTCAGTAACTTCCGAGCTTGATCATCAATGAATGAATTCGAAGCTGGATCAACTGTGGGAATTACACAAAAACAATCGGCAAAGCCAAGTACATGACGCACACACTTCTAACTCACATGGCCAACTCACACAATCGCAAGTAACTGGCCTGCAAGTAAACTGGCTGACAGCGAATCTCTGGTACAGTTAAAGACTGGGATATGGGTATGGTTATGGTTGCGGTTCGGGTATATGGATCTGGGCATGACGATGGCCTACGGCCAATGGGTGGGTGAGCACTTGGCTGCGTGGGAGGAGCTGCTGCTGTTCCCAAAATCTCGTTCCGCTTGCCCCAATGTGCGATGGGCTTAGAGCAGGCCAGAAGTACAAGCCTGATACTTTGATTATTATGATTGGAAACACTTTATATAAAGTTTAGTTTGAGCGGTCTCGAAAACTAATAATTAACATCGTTCGAATTACATTTGATAAGATACACTGAAAACAATCTCTCTTGGATTAAAATGTATTAGAGTGCTCAAATAATATATTTTATTTATTTTACTTGCGTTGGGAATTGAGTTTACTTTATTTCAAAGCAAGGTTTTTTCAAAATATCTTCTTTGAATTTAAATAACATTTCGAAGATGTTCAATTTTTTTATATTTCTTCCTGAAAATTACTGAATGGGTAAATGTACTTTATTCCAAAATTTTGATTTCGACTCACAATTTTTGTTATAACCTCCCACAACCAAATTCTGTATCCGTCACTGGTTTCATTCTGATTCTATTCCAAATAGGCTTTCTATAAGAAACAATCTGTAGGTTGACTATTTCAATCATTGTAAATTCTTTTTTTCTGCCTGTGTAAAGAACCTCTCATAAAAAACTTTCTTCTTGCTAACAATCCATTAGATTGTGATTTGGAAACGACATTTTTTTGGGTGTACGATCCGCTGTCTGTGCCAAACGCTGTTGTGTCTCTGACTGTCTGACTGTTGCTCAAACGGCTGCGACTTGGAAACTAACGTGGGCAGGCCAGACACAGGCAGTCGTAATTGTTGAAAGTACGCTGGGTACCAACACACATAGGTGCTCATAGAGAGGGGCCTGTATATTCGTATATAACGCCATACGTATATAAAACGCCTAATCGAAATGTGCTGCGAGTAGGAGCCCCATCGGCTGAGCTGGGACTGGAGCTCCGAGCTCTAAGCTGGTCCAAAACCGAACCGAACTGATCTTCCAGCGATCGAGTGAAGCAAATACATATGCCCCCCAATATAACGCTGAAGTGCCGCCCCGATCTTGGCTGATAAGATAGCCCAATGCGCTCTACCTGGTACACGTAGAACACCGAAAGGTAAAAACAAGGTTGTTTCGAGAACACACTGATAACCTCCAGAGGTCGCGAATACATCAATTTAGGGGGCGAAACGGGTTTCGATTTCGGAAACTCCCAGGGAATGAAAGTCTAAGCCAATCATCCGCTAAAAATAACGCCACCAAAATTTGGCGAAGACTGCAAAAACTGTTGTTTTCGTTAATTATGATTAATTGTGGGTTCGTTTTTGTTTTTTTCTTTGTTTTCTTTAGATTATATATTTTATTTCTCCAGCTCACCGTGCAAGTTGATGGTACAGGTAGTGTTGTTACCCCGATCTAGTACAACAACACTCGTAGCAGCCATTGCGGCCGCTGTCGTGGCCATTTTCGATTTTCGTAACGGTAAAGGTATATCCGGTGGATCGTTTTCGATCCTGTCAGAACTTGTGGGTGTGTGTGGGGGAGTTTTTGGGGTGTTTTTATTCCCAAAAAAATATAAACTGTTGCTCCGTGGCACTTAAAGCAAGGCGATCTGGTTTCGTATTCAAAAACTGGCGTCGATTGAACTTTAATTTGCGCATTTACATAATGTTTGCAAAAATTATTCTGCACACAAAGCACCGCACTCACACAAGCGGCCGCTCATGCACACTCACACACACTCGGCACACACACGCACGCACAGAGCGCAGCTTGAGTTTTTGTCAATGAACAAATACGTATGGAAAAAACTCGTGCAAAAAACGTTCGAGCGAAAAGCGTCGCAATCCGTACTTTGGATGTAGCGCCAACAACGACCGACGACCGATTGAAACAAAACCAGCTTATGCCAACTGACCGCCTTCTGTTACCGGGCCATGTTGAGCCCTAAAAGTGGGATATTTTCATGGTCGACGGGTTGATGGTCTTCCTGGGCGTTGGTTCTGTACATATAACCCACTCTTTGTGGAACTAACAGATAAACAGATGTTAGTATTGTCGGAAAGAAATGTGTTTTAAAGAGGTTGATTAATTATTTAAATTAACTTTGGTTTTTTAGATTTTATAATATAATATAGCAATATTACGTTCGTCGGAAATGCTACCTTTATAAATTATTTTAAACAAATTAACTAAATCAACAATTCATTTAGTTAGTCTTATCATAAAGAAAAATTTTAATGTTTGTTAATAATGACTTTAGTCACTAGGTATTGATCTTTTTTAATGAAAAAACTTAGGATCGACATATGCAAAAAAGAATATATCATAGTGCTTTTTTACTCTATTCATTATTATTTTGATTTGTATAATATTCCTCAAAAATAATGATTAATTTTACAATAAAAATAAAAAATAATAGTTATTTCTGAGCGAAAAAATAAGACTGAAATATATTGGTTTACTTATTTTGACACCAGTATTTTGTAAAAACGTTGAAAATTAATGTTATTATGGATAACTATTAAGAAGTTATATTTTTTAACAATGCAAAAAATGATTGTAAATGCTATAACGATTTAAAAAACATTTTTAGAAACAATAAATTAACAAATAATTGTAAGGTCTAATAATAATAATAGTTTTCTGTAATATTCCAAATAAAATGTTGTGTAGCATGTAGCAAAAGCTAATAAACTTGAAAATAACAAAAATATATTCCACCAATAAATATTTGCCAATCTTAATTAAGTGCAATCTCCAAACCAATAAATACAAAGAAAACGTATCTTTGGGATACACTCCGGACGGTACTACGCAGGAACTTTGTAAATTAACCCGTTGACCCGATGGACTTTGAAATTGGCAGGGAAAATCGTAAAATAATCATGTTAACGCATAAACGAGCAACAGCTGATTGGAAATCGGCCCAACTGCGGTTATCGATAACCGAAGCAGCGTTGTTGTCCAATCAGAAAAAGTGTAGGCGAAGTGGATTAGCATAAATAAAATCCCAGAGATGTAAGTTACATCCTGCACAAGCAGATACAAATGAATCTTTGAGGAAGTACTAGAGCTGGGCTACATTTTCCACTAACCAACCACATCGATTACTCATTTGCAGCAATGTTGAGGCCGCGCAGTGTGAAATTGAGATAACAAATCCCACGAGCAAGAAGAAGAGCCCAAAAAGAGCCAGCGGATTAAAAACATTATAGTAGCACCTGAGCACAAGCAATCGCAACGCAATGTCGCGCAAAATGGCCAAGTTCTATAAGCTGGACATCAACCGCACCGAGTGGGAGATACCGGAAACGTACCAGAACCTGCAGCCCGTTGGCCAGGGAGCTTACGGGCAGGTGTGCAAGGCCGTGGTCCGCGGAACAAGCACCAAGGTGGCCATCAAAAAGCTGGCCCGGCCCTTCCAGTCGGCCGTCCACGCCAAGAGGACGTATCGGGAGCTGCGACTGCTGAAGCACATGGACCACGAGAACGTCATCGGTCTGCTGGACGTCTTTCATCCCGGACAGCCCGCCGATTCGCTGGAACAATTTCAGCAGGTCTACATGGTGACCCACTTGATGGACGCCGATCTGAACAACATCATACGCACCCAGAAGCTGTCCGACGACCACGTCCAGTTTCTGATCTACCAGATCCTGCGCGGTCTGAAGTACATCCACAGCGCCGGGGTCATCCATCGCGACCTGAAGCCCTCGAACATCGCGGTGAACGAAGACTGCGAGCTGCGCATCCTGGACTTTGGCTTGGCGCGTCCCGCTGAGAGCGAGATGACCGGGTACGTGGCCACGCGATGGTACCGGGCGCCCGAGATCATGCTCAACTGGATGCACTACAACCAGACGGTGGACATATGGTCTGTGGGCTGTATAATGGCAGAGTTGCTGACGGGACGCACCCTCTTCCCCGGCACCGACCACATCCATCAGTTGAACCTGATCATGGAAGTGCTGGGCACGCCGGCCGACGAGTTCATGAGCCGCATATCCTCGGAGAGCGCCCGGAACTATATCCGCTCACTGCCGGTAATGCCGCGCCGCAACTTTCGCGACATCTTCCGCGGCGCTAATCCGCTGGCCATCGATCTGCTGGAGAAGATGCTGGAACTGGACGCCGACAAGCGCATCACAGCCGAGCAGGCGCTGGCCCATCCGTACATGGAGAAGTACCACGATCCGACCGACGAGCAGACCGCCGCGCTCTACGATCAGAGCTTTGAGGAGAACGAGCTGCCGGTTGAGAAGTGGCGGGAGATGGTCTTCACCGAGGTGACGGCATTCAAGCCCACGGCCGCCTTTGCCGAACTACTGCCCAAGGAGCAGTAATACCGGCCGCTGTCCCTGTCCGTTCAATGATGCTATATATATTTAGATCAGTCTTCTTTACGCCTAGTTCAAGCGGATGTGCTCAGTCGTGATTTCTCTACTCGTCGAGTGTAAACAAACGGAGGGTATTTATTGTAGAGCGATTTATATTTAGAAACACTTCAGTGGCTGGATTTAAACAATTTGTTTTGACCACAGAGGCGCACGTAAACGTAAGGTGAAAATGTATTTTCGAACCTCCGATTCGCATTCGATGAATACAGAAATTGCGGTTGAACTAGGTCATGCATATAATGTAGCGATTCGGAAATGTTTCCAAAAATCAATCAGTCACAGCCTTAATGTCCAGTTCAACTTTAGATTTGGTGTCGGTCTTAGCACGCAGTTCTTGTGAATAATCCTGTAAATGTGAGTGTACATGTACATCCTAGTTCTTAAGCGAACGCATCTCGCGGCCAGTAACTATAAAAAGAGCACTAGTGTCTACGTTGAATCCAAATAAATGTGCTATGTATTTTAAAAAAGGAGATCCTCTAGGTAGCGCTCGAACTCTTGCTCCCTGGAGGTCTGCTCCTGGCCGAGATCGGGCTGTTGCTGCCAGATCTGATCGTCAGCCGGGGTGTCTTCGGTGGTGGGCACCTCGGTAGTTTCTGGTTGGGATTCGGAAGCGGATTTTCCAGCCTCCTCCTCCACTTCTTCGCTATCTGTGGAACTCTCTTGTTCGTCATCCAGCCTACGACGCTTTCGTTTTCGCTCAGCCCGGCGTTCCTCCTTGGCCCTCCTTCGCTCATTCTTGTACTCCCTCTTTTTGGTGCGATAGTTAAGCTGATCCGTATGCGTGGGACAAAGGCGCACCTAATGATGAAGTGGATTTATCAGTGACCAGTGACCAGCCAAGGTTACCTTTTCGAACCCACCTTAACGAGTGCATTCAAGGGCGCACCCTTTTCGATGTACTTGAAGTTCACCTCCCAGCTGCGGAGATTCTCCCGCTCCCCGCAGTGCCGACTGCCGCACTGAAACTGCCCGGTCCCGGTCACCACCTCCTGCTCCGTTCGCCAGCGCAGGGCTATCTTGTTCTCCTTGTACCGGGACAGATCGGCAATGCAGTACTCCTTGAACAGCTTCTTGTAGTAGCGCAGGGCCAAACGCTGCTCCCAGCTGAGGGAATCGGTGTCCGCCTCTTCATCATCCCACAGAAAGCGGTGGTTCTCCCGTATCACATCGATGTCCCGCTTGTGGCGGCGAGATTCAGCCTCCGCCGGGGAGTTGAGCACGTAGTGGTTGAGGATATAGTTGTGTCGCTCCTTTGCGGTCAGATTGTTCAGATTCACGGGGAATAGTTGCGAGCCGCTCATTGTTATTGCTAAACAACAACTCGATTACAAAGGGGGCCTATCGATATATATCGACAGGCATGCTGTCACCTTGGCTTTTTTCACGCCATATCTTTTAGCGGAATTTATTTAATCTTTTGGTTAGCAAAACTAGCAAATGTTCATTTTAAAGTTATAATGTTTCTAAAGCAAATGTTCATAGAGCAAATGTTGAAAAGAAATTTATAATTTTAAAAGAATATTGCATTATTTCATATGGAAATAGTTCCCTGCAAATATTTTTGAGTCCCTTAACTTTTCCCTGAGTAAATATTTATAGCTAGCTATATTTCACTTGTACTTTCGATCGTCATCACTGATGAATGGCACCCAAAAGTAATCTGTGCAAATACATAGATGTGTATGTAAATTTACTATCCCAGAATGCATTCATTGGTGCCCTGTTGATCGCATTGCACTCGCTGTTCCACTTATAATATACACATTATACATATATGTCTGATTTCCCGGAGGGGAATGCGGTTGCCATGAACATTTTTCGATAAGTTTCGTGGACAAACATTTAGCACATCGCAAGCTACAGTTGACGCCTTGTCGCAACAACAGAGTCAAAAGAGAAAAAGTGGGGGAAAGTTGCTGTGAATCAGAAATGGCTTGCAGTTGCAGCCCACTGTTCTTTGTCTTTCTGCGGAAGAACCTGCTCTACCTAAGATGCAACTTCCTGCCGCTGCTCTTGATCTGCATCGGATTCGGCGGAGTCCTCACCGCCTATCTGCACTGGTCGACGAAGCCCGTGCAGCTCCAAATGGAGGAGTTTGAGCCAAAAAATGAGGTGAGCCGATATGAATGAATGGGAGTCACACGCCCTTGTAAGTGGCGTACACGTAAGTGCGAAGTAACCCCATATCTACATTTCTCTATAAAATAGTGTTATCAATATAAGCACAAACCCATGACCGCAATTGAGCGCTAATCTAATTATCTTCACCCTCTGTTAGATGGCGCTCAAAGAAACGTACTTTCCCGGAAATGAACAGGACTACATATACTATGCACCCCAATCTTCGAATGTGGAGGACATTGTGGATCTCCTGCGGGTGGACCTGGGGTTAATACCAGAGCGTAAGTGCAAAAAAATATGGGATCTAGAATCATAATAATATATTATATTACTATTATAATTTAGAAGTATGATTTCTTTTTTTATTTTCAAATATTAAAAACAAGTATATTATATTTTAAGAAACAGTCAACAGTCAGTCAACACATTATTTACATAAGTAGTGCCAGCCCAAAGATAAGTTCCAAAAGGGTGGAGCTACATTTTTATGACACATATGTTTTTAAAAGAAAAAACTATTTCTAAATGTATGTTAATTGGTTATATACTCTTTTCTTTTTGAAAGTCTTATAAAAAGGTATATTTTAGGTGGTTACTTTCTCCGCTAAGCTTTTAGAGTGACTTTAAAATGTGGCATAATAATAGTGACTTTATAAAATCGCATAATGATAACAATTACTTTCTCCCTTAGGACTTCGGGCCTACAACAACAGTTTCGAGATGCAGCTGAACATGGAGCAGCAGTGCCGGTCGAATTGCTTCGCCATCAGCTTCGACCAGGTGCCAGACCGCGGATCTGGCGGAAAGTTTCGGTACAGCCTGAGCTCGAATCAGATGCGAATTTCGCCCAGGAAGCGCTTCGTTAACGACGAGGAGATTAATCATCAGAAAGGTGCGTTTTATATTTGTCCCTTGTTCCCGTTTAACGAACCCGCGCTTTCTTCCATTCTTCTTTATCAGATGATGATGATTACATTCGTGCCGGTTTCCTGACCTTGCAGCACATTTTGGACAAACAATACATGAAGTACCAGGAGCTGGGGAACAACTATGAAATACTGGTCAGCTCGATGCCCAACCTGGAGGTTATTAGCATGGACAGCCATCGTCTGACGTACTTTGGCACCTTGTGCAGCATCCTGTTCAATGTGGTTCTACTCAGTACCTTTGTTGTGCCCTTTGTGGAGGAGAAGCAGAACGGACTGAAGGAGTTTCTGAACCTGGTCACGCCCATGAGCTTCCTCAACGGCCTCACCTTCTTCCTCATTCGCTTCGTGTGCTATACAGCGCTGCTACTTATTGTGCTGGTCGTTGCTTATTTGTACAAAGCACTGGGTCTGATCTGCTTCGCTTATGTGGCGGTGTTGTTTCTGCTTTACATATTGTCCACCATGTCGTACGCATATCTGATCTCTGTTTGTTTCCACTCAGGTAACTAGCTATTTTGTTATGTGTCTATATTTACTAGTTCTTTCTTATAACCCTTGCAGTTTTCTATGCGAAGATTGGCGGCCTGGTGATGCTGATCATTCCCTATGTGTTCTCCTTTGTCCGAAGCTGGGCCACATCGCTGGCCTTTGTCTTCTTCAGCACCAATGCCTTCCTGGAGGGATTGGATGTTTTCCAGACATTCTCTAACAAGCGTAAGAATTTCGCTTAGCAGCAAGCTGTAACAATGCATTATGTCTATGGCCTTGGTTTATTGTAGATCGCGAATTCGGGGCTGCGGATCTGTTTCGTGAAATCAAATACGATTCCTCTAGGATGTTTTGGGTCTATGTTGTTCTCGTTTTCCAATCCTTTTTGTACGCCCTGCTCTACAACTATTTGGGTTGTGTGTTTCCTGGTCCTGGCGGACTAAAGCGTCCTATTTTCTTTTTCCTAGATGTAAGTACCAGAAAAAAAAGTATGAAATATCGGTCTCGGGTTGGTCACGCGTTTCGGTACTTGGTTTCCGATTTTCTTGTTATTATATGATTGGTTATTCCCTTCTATATAAGCTTATATTGGTTACAATTTCATGGTCTTTATATTGTTTACATTGTTCTACGGTTTGATTCGACTATTTTATTATGCGGTTTCTTGTTTTCTTCGTTTACTTGCGGTAACATATCATAATTTTTAGAGATCGGTAAATTACGCTGTTTTATTTCAGTTACTTTATCGGTTACGGTTGCAAAAATCGCTTTATATCGGGCGCCTCACGGTTTCGGTTACGGTTTGAGTTATTGGTATGTTCCTTTATATGACTTCTCCCGGTTCTAAAGCTTAGCTTTTGATTTCAGCCCAATACCTACCGAAAAAGACAACGCAATGAGTACACGACTGCTCCCCGCGGCACTCAAGCCATCATAATCACCGAGTTGTGCAAGAAGTTCCAGACAAGTAAGCGCGAAACGCTCATTTCGGACAACCTAAATATGACAATCAACAACAAGGAGATCACAGTCTTACTGGGCCACAATGGTGCCGGCAAAACCACGATGATGAACATGATAATGGGTGAGTATTAAAACTTTAACTTTTTTAACACAAGGATACTAATGCTCTTACTTTTACAGGATTGGTGCCCAAGGATTCGGGCAAGATAGTTGTGTGCAGTGAGCGCGATGTGGCCTCCTATCGCCACCTGATTGGCTTCTGCCCGCAGCACAGTGTCTTCATGAGCTACATGACCTGTCAGCAGCACCTAGAATTCTTTGCCCAGCTGCGTGGCGCTGGTCGCTCCAATGCCCGTGATTGGGCAAATGAGAAGCTAACGAAACTGGGACTAGAAGATAAGAAAGACCATTTCGGAAAGGATTTGTCGGGAGGCATGAAGAGACGCCTTTCACTGGGTATCGCCATTGCCGGAAACACCAAGTAATGTTTAGATTTTTTGTGGAAAATCCTGCTAAAGATCGTTATCTAAATTCGCAGAATTGTAATTCTTGATGAGCCCTCGTCGGGATTGGACATTAACTCGCGCCGTGAGCTGTGGGACATCCTTTTGAATCTGCGCAAGGAGAAGGCAATTCTGGTGACCACCCATTACATGGAGGAGGCCGAGGTGCTTGGGGACACCATCTGCATACTGGCCAATGGCAAGCTTCAAAGCATTGGATCTCCTTTGCAATTAAAGCGCAAATCGGGCATCGGTTATCGCTTGAAACTGGAGGTCAACGATTTTACGTATCGCGAAAACGAAATAATGGAAATAATCCACGACTTTGTACCAACAGCCAGGGTCTTGGTAAGACATTGTATAAGCTAATTATATATATGGCCTGTACTTAAGTTCTTTAAAACTTCAAATAGAATGTGGTGAAGCCCACTGTGTATATTTGCCTGCCGTATGCCTATAAAAAGTGCTTCGCTGAAATGCTACACAAACTGGAGGCGAAAACAAATCAACTGGGCATAAATACAATTTCCATGACCGACACTTCCCTGGAGGATGTTTTCCTAAGGTAGGTATTGCATAACTTGTTTTATAACTAACTAAATAATATGTGGTTTGCAGTTGTGCCGGGGAGCAGGATCAAGTGGACACCCCAGACGGATCCAGAAACGATGCACCGCTACTGACCCCCTACAAAAGATTGCCCAGTCATCCGCTGCAGCCTAGTCTTCTCCAACTTTGGATGGCGGTCTTTTACAAGAAGTGGACCTTTATCACCAATGAATGGTTATATACTCTGATAATGGTATGCATTGTAAAAACCACATTTACAAGTCTGTACTTTGCACAGCGATAACAGTGCAATTTATTATATTTACTGTTTCTCCCCTTCCTCGCCAGCTTTCCATTCCCTTTGTTTGCGTTTGCGGGGCTATACTTGTGATGCACGCCATGTCCATAGTGGAGAACGAGGAGGCTCTGCCGCTGAAACTCAGCCAGATGGGCACAGGCATTGTTTACATCCACAATCCGACGGGCCATCACGCCCAGGTGGAGCAGCAGCTGCGTCAGCAGATCGAGCTGAGCGGAATCACGGTGAAAACATTGCAGCTGCGTGGGAGTAATGATGTGAAAAATGGTGGGCTTTCCATGTCGTGCTGAAAATTTCAATGATTTTACTATAAACTTGTATTCTCTAGAATCTCTGGATTTGCAACGTGAAAACTTGGCTGATTTCTTGGAACAGGTGATTGGCATCCTCGACATGTACGGCGGTGGGCGTGGCACCGCGGATACGCCAACCATTGAGATCTTTTACTCGGGAAATCGCTACC